AATTTTAGATTAAATTTATTTAATTATGCATTTGTATTCAATCTATTTATATTTATATATCAATATTAAAAAAAGAAAATTAATGAATATTTTAAATTAATATAAATATAAGGAATTTTTTAATTTTAGTTTTATATAAAGACCTAAATTATCTCATATATCAATAACCTATTTTTACAACATTATGTCTGATTAATACAATATTAATTTTACTTTAAAATTTTTAAACATTTTATGATTCTTTCTGATACAAAAATCTTTTCATCTGTTAAAACTCAATAGAAATTTCAAATTCTACTAGATTATCATAATCAAAAAGTTCATTTATTCTGATTTTTTACAGAAATAAAAATATTTTGGGGTTTTTTATAGTTTGTTGCTTTATAAAAATGATTACAAAGAAGAAAACTGAAGAAGAATCAATTTTAAAAAACATTATCAGAGAATAAATAAGTCAACGCTGTATTAAGGCTGTTGGTTAGAAATCGGTAATGATATGAAAATCAAATTTCTCCGAATACTGATGATCTTTACAAATATTTCTTATATGCACATTGTATAAATTATTATTATTTGTACCTATGCAAATAAAATACGTTACGTTTATGTGTGTAATTTTTTGCATTTGCTTAACAAACATTTTAAATAAGAACTAAATTTAATTTATAACAAAATTATTACGTATTTGAAAACGTGTATCACAATTTTAAGAATAATGCTCGAAAACAATAACAAATCTTATATAGCAAGTATATTATATGCTCACATTGTATTTTATGCTCTGTCATATTGTCTTATATTTATATATTATTATGAACTAATACGATATTGCATCGTTCTTCAACGAAGACATTGTTAAAATATTTTCATTATTATATCAAAAGTTTACATTATTTCATATAAACTAGTTTACAGTCAATATACCTTGTTTAATTTGGTTTTACCAGTGTATTCCTGTTAACTATGTATTTGTAGAAGTTGTTGCTTTTTTATAGATTCAAATTAAGTATTTTCCATTAGTACAGTGGTTATACCAAGAATTGCAGTATTTGGATATGCAACTTTGTGTAAAATGTTCAGTATTGTTAGTTTGGCATGGATTTGCATTAAATTTCAATTGTTGAGTTTCTTTTAAACGTTCTTTTTTATAAATCCTGTTTACGAGCTATTACTGTCGCAATTACTAATCTATTTTATAAATAACTCTGTTACTTCAATTTCCCAATGAAGTAATGCCTCAATATAAGATTGGAAGTGGCGCAGATTCAATTTGTTGGGCTGCAATTTGAAAAAAATGTAGACCTATAAATTCTCACTGTCGACCGTCCGTCTGTCTTTCCTTACTCTCGAGAAGTAATTTAGATAGCTGAAAGACGAAAGAAGATATGGGGCTATTAGGCACAGGAGGCCCTGATTAATTATATATGAAATTCAAATGCAAACTGAAAGATGCGTTAATTAAATTCAAAACTTTCCCTTAAAAGCAGTTAATTGATGACCGGCACGACTCTATCGTTAAAGAAAAAGTATGATGTACAGGGGCAAGATACTACAATACTAATTTGAGATGAGGAGCATTGCAGAAAAAATAATTGCTTTTTATATTTGGGACGGTAATTAGCTTAATCACGATTATCTAATTCAGATTGCATTGTGTTTTCACTACTCATTTTCTTTCAAATATCGAGATAATCTAATTTGAAATATAAATTTCTGCACAAAACACATATCGCTAACATACCTAGTAAAACGTGATCACTATTTTTAAAAATACGTGCTTTTATATAGTACAAAAAATTACTATAAATAAAAATTTTATTAAATATATTATACTGTAAATATAAAGCGTCTAATTACCGTATTCTGTAATTTCACTTATTATTCTGTTAAATATAACATCACTTTCATATTTTTAACCGGATAATTCTTTCTCCGGAAGTAATTTTACTCAAATCACCAATTTAAAACACATTTATTTAAATATTTTTATAACAAAAGCATTAAAATCGATGAACTTTAATTATGATCATCCTGAATTTAAGTTCATACTAATTGTAGAATTGGAAGCGTTTTTATATCAAACATGAACTCGTTTTTTGTTTGAAAATGATCTTTAAAAAGTCAATAGAACAAACACTAAATTTACCGTACAACTAAAGTATTGCTAACCTATAAAGCAGAATATTATTGTTAGCAAATTAAAACACTTTTTAATTTACATTTAATATATTTTTCTAAGCCATATGTTCGTTTTTAACATGAAATCAATTTATACTTATATTATTCTATTCTTAAAATATAAAAAATTTGTTTATATTAATTTTATATCTTTTTAAAAGATAATGATTTAATATTTATATAATTTTTATTGTATTTATATTAATATTATATTTATATAATTTTTCGTTACTTTTCTATAACATAATTAGTTTTTGTTGATAGAATAATGATTAGACTTTAATATTTTGTTGTACTGTATTTTATTCTATAACATTAAGACTAACTTGACTATACTGTACACTATAAGACGAGACGAACATACGAAAAGGTAGTCTAACAGATTTTCTTTTGTCCCTTTATCCCTTTGTTTTTGGGGTTTTACACAGTGTTGTCACTTTATATTCTGCACATAAAATATATATTTTTTTTCCACTAACAATCCCCCTCTCGAAGAGATTCTATCTATGCTTAATGATCTCTTCGCAAGTTATGTTGTTGCAGTGGGTCAAAAAAAGGTTGTCTCCAGAGGTTTCGTATGTATGTCAGCTATGTCCCTCTTAGTATCTATGTACTCTATCTGTATCGTTCCAATCGTAACCCTCTCTCGAATAAAGTGGTATTTCACAGCTGTGTGCTTGGTCCTACCATTTATTACATAGCTCTTGGCATGTCATATCGCAGCCTGATTGTCGTAATTAATGATCGTAAGTTCTTTTAATAGTTAATACTGAGCAAGTTGACCGAGCATCTCTCTCATCCAGCCTATATCTCTCGCTCACGTCGACAGGGATATGTATTTTGCCTCCATTGTACTCAGAGTTGTTACCGATTGTTTAGTACTTCTCCATGCCACAGGTTCCCCTGACGTATCCAGTAGTACTCTTACAGTTTTTTCGTCCATTGCCCAGTCTGCGTTCGATTATCCGAAGAGGTCGCCTCTGGATCTCGTAAACTTTATTTCTAGATACTTTGTTGCTTTCAAATAACAAAGTATCCTATTGCCTGAATTCCAGTATTTTCTAGAATATCTATTACAATACTGTTCATGTTTGTTAACTCAAATAAAATATCCGGTTACGTCTTTGTCATACATACATTAATCCGCCTATGAGTTCCCTGTATGGTAAATTCTCATCTAAGTCATTGGTTTCTATTCACAGATCCAGTTTACATTTTATTGGAGTAGTGGATTCCTTTGCCTCCAGCATATTGAACCTCTCAAATAGTTTTTAATTTATTTTTCTTGATCAAGGATATTGTTTTTCCTACGTCTGAATCTTATTTCGAGTAGTTTAGAAACAGGTCCTGGACACTTGATATCGAAATGTTCTGTTAGGAATTCCCGTGCCAAATTTTTTATGTACAGTACCTGTTTTGTGAGATGACTAAGATGTCGTCCACGTATACTGCTAGTATTATCATCCCTTTGTTTCTTGTTAGTATATATACGCATGGATCGGCCGTACTTCTTTTAAAGTTTGATTCACTTAAGCACTTTTCTAAGTGATTATTCCAGCATCGCCCGCTTTGTTTTAGGCCATAGATTGCTTTATTAAGTTTTCAATATAGATGCTCTTCGTTCTTCTTTCGGAATCCATCTGGTTGCTCCAGATAAATTTCTTCGTTCAGTTTACTATATAAATATGTTGATTTAACATAATATTGGTCCAAAACCAATTATTCTTTATTGCTACAGCCGTTAGCAGTCTTATCGTGTCGAAATACGATACAGGAGAGTATAACTCATCATAGTCGATGAATTTTTGCTGCGAAAAGATCTTTGTCACTAAGTGTGCATTGTATTTCCTATTCTCTGTAGCCTTGTTGTCTTTAATTTTGTAAACCCACTTGCACTTGATAGGTGTTACTCCTTCAAGTAGATCCATTAAGTTTTATACTTTATGTTTTCTTTCGATTCCATTTCCTCTTCCAAGGCCGCTTGCCATTTGGCTGAGTCATTCGACTCCATGGCTTCCTTGTACTGTACAGTACATTGAAGGTTCTGTATTATCCCCGATTTTCTTTTCAATAAGTGTGATAGATTCGTCTATAATTTCATTCTATATTCCTTCTTAGGTCTCTTCTTCTGTCCGATCCGAGCGATTCACGATCTTTCACTTGCTCTCGTCAATTCTCTGATCTGCTGAACTTCATCTTCGTTCTCGGGTTAGGTGTTTTCTTCGAGGGTTAGTCACCCTCTCTTTTTTGTGTGTTCGTTCGTGTTCGATTATTTCGATGTCATCGTTTGATTTGTTCGGGAATTTGTTGATAAACTTTACATCCCTGCTTATTAATACTCTTTTTGTTCTCGTATCCCATAAACGATAAGCTTTGATTATTATTATACGAAGCCTTACAAAAAATCTAATTTCTCTAACATTTGTCAATATGAATGGCTTTTTTATTGTTATGCATACAAATTAATTTTCCAACTATGTTTTCTACATAAGTATCTGTAATATTACTTTATGGAGATGTATTCAGCTAATTGTAGATTGAGTAACAAGTGTCAAATATAATATTCAGATTTAGTGGTATAAATGATATTCTACTCCATCTGATGTCTTTATTTTTCAAAATAAAACCCAATCATACAGAATATATTCGGTAATGGTATCTACAAATCTTGCGATGCATCTAGTGAATTCACTTGATCAGCATCCTCATCATTCTCTTGCACTTCTCTTTCTACTTTCTGACCTCTTTTAACTATATCAGTACCTGAAATAAAACCAAACAAATTATTTCTAGTAGTCATTAATCTAATTATTCTATTATTACAATTGAATTATGCAATTATACATGGCATTGTTCTACATTTAGAAAAAGTTTTTGTCGTGTAGTTTTGCATTTATTAAATGTTTTTGAAACATTATTTAGAATGTGGTGACAATGGACTCAACATCAAACATTTTAATTCACTTAATCAAATTAATTTTTCTCGAATAGAAAATTATTCATTAGCTATCTGTTTATGGGATGAGAAAGTTGATTCCTTGATAATTATAATAAAATTTGGAAAAAAATAATGTAAAAATTATACACCCTTAAACAATAACATGCAAACTAAGAAATGTTTTATTAAAGAATTTCACTTGTAGATTAACAATTTTCTTGTGCCGTTAACTGCTCTTTATTTTTATCAGTAATACTAATATATAGTAGATATGCCCAGTGTTTCCCGAAAGAAAAATAATAAGAACAAACATTAAAATGAAAATCATATTAAAAGTTTGATTATTTTAGCCTCTCGTTGTTATGTTTATCGCGAATTGTCAAGGGGATGAAATCAGGAGGAGGTAGGGTGACCAGGTTTTATGGTAGTCCATATTTCTTGCAGGGTTCTAGAGAGTAAGTGTGAAAAATTTGGTGCAGATCAGCCAAAGAGTTTAGGAGTTAATAGGGAAATGAAATTAGGGGGAAGATTGCGTATTCAGGTTTCGTGATAACCTATCTTTTCGGGGTTTAAAGAGTAAGAATGAAAAATTTCGTGCAGATCGGTCAAAGGATTTAGAAGTGTATAGAGAATAGACAGGCGGACAAACATTCGATTTTATACATATAGATTACCAGACCTGTTTTGCTTAGTGATGACTTTAACAACTTTCTTGGAAACACTGAGAAAGCAAATATCGCTTAACTCTAATTTAAAATAATTCGTTTTAACTTTTCATGTAACTTTACAAGTAAGTCCTACGTTATAAGCATGAAAGATCTACGTTATAAGCATGAAGCAAGTACAATAAGTAAGTTTTTTTTTTTACTAATTTCGAGATTTAACGATCCATTTTTTTTTTATCTTATATACTTGATAAACAATAACTGAATTGAGAAAGGGTAATTTGATTAGACAAGCCAGAGTTAAAAGTTCTATCCTAATGGCTAGGTTTACTTTATTTTCATTCTGGTATTTTACATCAAGTTGTAAAATGAGAAATGGTTTTAAATATCTTTAATTAATTTCTTAAAAAATAAAAAGATTAAAGAGAAAAAAATATCTGATTGAATTATTCTTCAATGCTACCATGTTTTATATAAGATTTAACATATTATATATTTTTAGAATAGCATAACTTTTGCTTTTTCTAATATGCATTTTATTTGTCGTTTATTATTGTAATCATTAAATTGTCTTCGTTTCTTGTTTTTTTAAAAAAGGTAAATAAGACAATGTCAAAGTAAATGTTTGATTTTTTTATTTATTATGATTAATATTTGTAATTATTTGTTGTTTTATCGCTTTTAAATAAATTAGCCTTTATATTTTTTAATCTATCATACTAATTTCTACATTTTACTTTAATATTTCGTTGTATATCACTCTCTAACTTTTGCATACCACTGCTAAATACAGTACAAGTTTTCCTGCATAATAGTCAATGCGTTAAACATTACGTATCCAATTTTCTGTAGACATGTAAAATTATTATTGTTAACAAATTATCCCTTTACCTTTATTCAGACGTTTTTAATGCGTTTAAATTATGTTTAATAAACACGTAACTATGATTTATTGCCTGTTATATTATGTAATATCGTTCTAAGTTACATATATTATCATCGCAATCCTACTCTATGTAACATTTATTCTTTCAGATTCTCTTCATTCACAATAATACCTAAAAATAGAAATCAGCCTTACAAAACACTGATACAGATAAAATATGTAATAAATTTGTTTTTAAAATATTTTATAATATTTTGTGACTTCCGCGAGTAAATACATAGACGAATTTTAAGAATTATTGATTATTTGAATAATTTGTCTTCAAAAACTCTATTTAATAAGTTTTTGAATGTTGTTTTGAAGCTTTCTAATTAACTACTTTAAGTAATTAAGTAACAAAAATAGAATTAAAAGCTTAAGTTTTTATTTTGCCTTCTAAATTATCTCTTCAGACTATTAATATATAAAATCAACACTTCAAAAAATGTTTTGAAACTTCTACTAGCATTTTTAGGAAATTTTTTTACGAGCAAATTCGTAATTGATAGCTTAATCGCTTCTAAAAATATTATAATTCACTTAATCGAGCTATTAAATTCCTTATTAGAATGATGAAGATGAAACTAACGTAATTTGGATAAATTCTAGCTGGTCAGGGAATAATAAATCGAACATTGAAAAGGAAAATTTGAATAAGAATGCATTCCTGATAATATTGTTCTAGATTGAAGTAGCGGATGATAAGAATCTTTTCCAAGATTTTTATTTGTGAAGATGACATTTTATTATCAGTTTAAATTAGGTGACAGTCCTTAGAATTATAAGCAGATTTGAAGTAGTTTTAATTATTTAAAATTTAAATTCTTTAAAATAATGAAAGATTATTTTTCGATTACTAACGCAAAATCTGTATCTTTTTTCAATGTCTGAACTGGTTCAAAACTGTATCGTCTACTTGTTACTCCAAGTAAAGAAGCACTCTCAGGTTTGTTAGTTTTTGGTTCTTGCTTAACTTGTTCTTCTAACCATACTGCTGCTTTTGCACCTGTTTTTGTTCCAAAATTTCTATCATATGGAGATGGTGATCCACCCTGAAACATAAAAAATTGTTAAATATAATATTCATACTTGCACATATTAGAGTTCTAATAATAATTAAATTTTCACCTGTTGCATGTGACCCAAAATATTCATTCTTGTAGTAAATAGTTTTTTACCTTCTTCCGAGTAAAGACGGAAAATAAAATCTGTTGTATAATTGGCATTTGCATTTTCATTCCTATAATAAGATATATTTGTGTTGATATCTAGTAATTACTCATTTTTCATTATTTTTAAATTATAAATTGCAAAACAAACCTTAATATCAATCCTCTAGAAATGCCTTCATTCATTTTTGCTTGCATGTGATGAACATCACCTATTAAATCAGTAATTGAAAAGGATTCTTCAAAAATATAAGCAGAATCGGCACCACCGGCAAGACCAGATAACGTGGCTAAATAACCACAATATCCACCCATAGTTTCTACAACAAATACTCGCCTCTTTGTACCCTGAGCAGATTGTCGAATACGATCACAAATCTGTTGAGAAAAGATGAAAAAAGTTTAGTGCAATGTATATTTTATAATTAATTATTGTAATAAATTTATTATAGAAACTTTTTTTACTTCAGTTATTTCATTAAGAGCAGTATCGGCACCAAGAGAAAAATCTGTTCCTGGTACATTATTGCTGATTGTAGCAGGAATAACACACATTGGGATGCATAACTCTGGATACTTATCTCTGTTTTCTGCCATTTGAAGAACAGAATGATATGCCTAAAAAAAAACCACAATATTCATTTTAAAAAAATTAATCTAATCATTACATTTAAATTATTTAACATTCAATATAATATATTTTTTACATATACATACTTCAAAACCACCAATTACAAGCAATCCTTGAATTTTATAATGAGCTAATTGGCTTGCTATTTTCTGTAAATGTGGTNAGATTGTATTAACGATTAAATTTATTTAAAATAAGTATATAAAAACTTTTTAAAATACAAAAAGTAATCAATATGCTTTTTAATAATTGTAAATTAATTTAAACTAGGTTTCTTACTCCAAAAAAAAAAAGGTAATTTCGGTTTTTTATAGAGGTAATCATAAGTATCTGTTCCAGAAAGTCAACAATATAAAGGACTATTTTCTCACTTTATGTTCATCATTTTCATCAAGATATCCAGTTAAATGCCTCCTCGTGTACTTACAACATTCTTTTCTAATAAGAAAAGATTGCATCTTGAAAGAAAACGGTTTATGATTTTTGTTTTTAAAAATACATTCGCCGTTTTTTCTGTTATGTATCTGATAACAAAACAATAAATAGGAAAATTTCCAAGCAGTAATTTTTAAAATATATAAATGAGATTATTAAATAAGGTTATAAATTAAAGTTGAAAAGCTTCCAGAATCATGCAGAGATAATGATATTAACACGAAATTAAATTGTATAAAATCTAAGAAATTATTATAACAGCGAGAGATTTGGTTCTATGGCCATTTTTTTTTTCTTGTCTTTTTTCTTTTGTAGCGATTTCTCATCACATGCAATGTCCATCAGAGAAGCCCGATTACTATTTTAAAACTGTTAGGTTGCTATAGAGATGTATAACCCAGATGACGCCAATACTGCTGACACTGATTACAGTGAGTCCGGGAAATTCTATTTCTGTCGCCATCGTAGGCGGTCTTGTCCTCTACTGGACACCACTCTTCTTTGGGGAAATTCTCAAATAACTTTCTCTATTTCCATTTTCTTTTGCTATACTAAACTTTAAACTAATATCAATAAAACCAATTGATCATCATTAACATTGTGTCTTATTGCAAAATTAATTACACGTAGTAAATGTAGAATGAAAACAAACACGCATTTAATGATTAAAAGATTTAAGTCTAAATTATGAAATGTAATTTTCATAATTTTCAGCTTTGAAAATTTAATACTTTTATTTTTAAAGATTATATTTATTCTTCTAGTAGCGAACTAAAAAAAAAAAAAAAAAAAAAATATTGTGCCATGATGTTGCAACAGGAGATTAGAAGTACATTGCGGATTACGACCGACGTTCTTGCTAATTGCTGTAAAAATTCAGGTCAAAGTACAATCTTCCTCTCGTTAGTACATCTTACAAACAAGCTAATTACTAGATTCGTCTTACTCTTGTAACTTACTGTTCGAGTATAAAATATAATATCGGTTAATTCTATAGGGATTACTTGTTCTTGCTAGTAAAACTAACAGAAATTAATTCAGTCTTCTTTTGTTAATACACTACAAAATATTTTCTTACATTGTTTTCTGTTAGGAAGATTTTGGAACTCTTACTGACTTTAAAATTATGTAAAAATTCTTTTAAAATGTTTTTTATCTCTAATTGCTTTTATTTATTCCTTTTTATTATTGCTTTGTACAATCCTAATCATGTTTAAATTCATATAAACAATTCTCTTATAAATTAATAACACAAAAATATATTGCATAATATAATGGATTGGATTAGTTTTATGGAATAAGGCAACGCAACACAAAGGCGATCTGTCAAAGGGACGGATGCCTCCCGGGAGGAATTTCTTTGGATGCTGGTCCCTTTTAGATATTTAGACATGTGAAGAAAATCCGAAAAACTCCACGTGGCCAGACAATTGTGAGCCGCAAACCCGCGACCAACTACAGTGTTCAGAGGTATTATCCACACGGTCACTGGTAGGCCAAAATGTAATGGTAATTGCTGTAAAAATAGCTTTATGTGAAGAATTTTTATTTTAAATCTTTTAAAAGCATATTTATTAAGAATAAGTAAATCATTTCGAAATAAATAGCTCGTATAATTTATAAATAAACTCAATAAATATAATGAAGACATCCGACAGACATGAAATTTATAAAATTACACACTAGAATTCATTTTATTAGATTAAATCATTTTTGAAAATTGGATAACCTACTAGCATAATTTAATGAATAGAGCTCGTTATATATATAGTGTTTAAGAAGTAAATAAATATAGAAACTTTATCTCATTTTATATAGGCCTACTTATAAAATCAGTATAAAATGAAATAAATTTTCCATAATTTATTTATATTCTAAATTTATTTTTAAATACACTCAAATCTTTGAACGATGGCCTCTGACAAGAACATAAGAAGCAGTCATTGTTCGGAGGTGGCGGTTGTTTAGNGATTAAATTAAAAAAAAAAAAATCAGTAGTTATCAAATTTCTAAATATAATTACCTCTTTGTTCCAAGAAATGCACCCCCTTGGCCCACCCAACCAGATACATCACTCCAATTCATTTGTTGAAACTAAAGAAAAATTAATAAAAAAAGTTTAATATCTATTAAAGTAATAATACTAATAATATTTTTAAATAGGAAATATTTCAGTTTACTCACATTTCCTTCAATTAAACCTTCTATACCATCATGAATACCAAAAGCAATATTTCCCTGACATAAGCAATTTCTTACAAAAGATCTAACAGCAGCATTCATACCACAACAGGGAGCTCCTATATGCATTACTGCAAACACATGGCCACCCTATTAAAAAAGATAATAAATTTATTTTAAAATATAGTAAAATTAATATAATGATAATCAAAGTATAATTTTATTCATAAAATATTTTCAAAAAATTTTAATTTAAAAACTTTTTTAATCAATAAGTTATACTTTTCTAGATTTAATCAAAAAACAACCCAAAGTTATATTTTTAAGTTATCTCAGAATTATACTTCAATGTTTTAAAAAATAAATTAATGTAATTAGATGCTAGAAAATTATTATAAAATTTGTTTTTCAATAATAGAATTTAAAATCATTTTTGAGAGGATTAATTACATAGCATGAATAGTTAATTATGATTCCATTCAGTTATACCAGTCCAATAATAGTATATACCTATGTATGTGTATTAAATTTAGTGTATTAAATCTCAATATTCTGATACGTGTGCATTATTTTTTGATTTTATACTTGGACAATTTTATATACATGCAGATTGAGAGAAAGAAGTTAGCAAGGACACAGAGTTAAAGTGAATGTAATTGAAACAAAACTGATAGACTCCAGATATCAGTCCCTCAGTTTTGCTTGGCATTCGGCCAATTAAGAATTCAAGATAGATATGAAATGCCTATTCATCAATCAACTTGGCAAAATTTTGCATTTATGGAGTTTTATCTAGATTTATAATTATTCAAAAAATTAGATATTTTTCTAATTTTGCATCCTATTTCATCTTACAACTCTTCTAAAAAATGAAATTGATTCTTATAAGATAGTTTATTTGCTTTAAATGTATAGCAAATCTCTAGTCTTTCTCTAATTTATAACTGGTCAGCAATACCAAAGAGTGGGGATCAGCAACAATATCTAGCTATTTCAGATCACATCTGCCATAGAAGTTCTCTTCAGTTTAGTTATGTATATGTTCAGGCTGATGTTGACTGAACTGTAAACTGAAAAGTTTTAAATAAATTCTAATTTTTTACTTCCTTTAAACAAGCTGAATTTATCATTTTTAAAAGTAAAACAGAAAAAAAGAAATATTTTTCTAAATTTTTCACACTTATTTTGAATATTTTCTACAAAATTCAAATCTAAATTATATATGCATATTCCTTACATGTTCATGTGCATCTTTAGGTGGTTTGAGCCTTGTTAATAACTTGTAAGTTTGTAAGTTACGTTCAAAACTCCTAAAAAATAAAAAATATGCAATTATAAATTTCTTTCCATGAATAAATAATAAATTTCAGATATTCACATGCATATACAGTATATAGACAATTTTCCAAAATAATGTTTAATCATTTCAATTATTTATTATTTTTTAAATGAAAATATTCAAAAATTATTATTTATATTTATATTATTTCTGTATTTTTTTAAAAATTTTCAGCTAGTGTAATTAAATATACACTCAAGTTTTTTTAAAAGTCAAATTTATTTATTATATTGTAAAACTTTTTAGAAACAATATTCTCATCTTCAGTTAATTTCTACCTACTGGAAATTAATAAATATTAAAATTTGAGTTGGATTTGATAAAAAAGGAAGGTAGAAAAAAAAATTTAAGGAAAACTCAAAGAAAACATTAAAAATAAAAAAAACTATCTTGATGTAAATTAATTTTCTAATTTGCTTTAAATTAATATGGAATAAACTTCCTGAAGCCAGATTCATTCATATTCAACCAAACAATAACTAATTAATTGGGCTATAAATTTGCTATTATTAATGATTACTTAATATATAATTTGGTAGACGTAGGTGCCATCTCTTATCTAAATTAATAATTATAATTTTTTAAACAGATAAGGCAAACTGGCCATTATGTCTATTTGTAAATAAGAGATCTTACCCCAATTACTTTTTAGTAAAGGCGCTTGCCAAGTTTCTACACGCACTAATTCTGGACTTACCCTATGTTACTCCCTCATCTGTAGTCACTAAATCCACCATCACTTCAAGTATTGGTATGATACAAGTAAGCACTTACACTTTCTACAAACTACAAGGTCTGTTCATAAAGTATCGGACCTTTGGTCGGCAAAAATAAATTTATTGACTTTGAGGTACAAAACCCTAATCCCCTTCAAAGTAGTCTCCTTGGTAATGTATATACTTCTCCCAGCGTTCCTGCCATTGCTGGAAACACTGCTGGAACGCATCTTTTGGAATGGCCATCAGCCGGTCTGTCGCATTCCGCACGATGTCTTCTCTCGACTAAATTCGGGTTTCTTTTAGCGGCATTTTCAGCTTGGGAAATAGCCAAAGGTCCCACGGAGCCATGTGGGGAGAGTACGGAGCATGACGAACCACAGGAGTATTGTGTTTGGCGACGAAAGCCCGAAACAGATGCGCAGAATGGGCGGATGCGTTATCACGATGGAGCTGCCAAGTTTTGATCGACCACAGATACGGTCATTTGCGTCGCAATGTATCGGAAAGATGACGAAGGACCTCCTGGTAGTACTCCTTTGCGATGGTTTGGCCTCGTGGTGCGTACTCACGACACACCACCCCACGAAAGTCGAAAAAACTGTCAACATGACCTTTGATATTGCTGCGGACCTGCCGCGCTTTTTTTGGCCTCGAGGATCGTCCCCGAAAGCCTGCTGAATCTTGCGAATGGTTTACACTCGGGTATCGCCATGGTTTTTGGCAAAATTTGATGTAATATCGCTGCTCACGCTGTTCAGTCATTTTCCAGCTTAGTGAAATCCGACGAGAGCGCACTACATGACCTCACTCATAGGCCGATTGCCAACGAGTGATGCTTCCTGCAGGCGGGAAAAAATTCAGGGCTGTGCATGACTGTCCCCTCCACAACTCCACCGAAGGAGGCCTCTCGCGCATCATTGGTTTACGTGAAAAAAATAAAGGTCCGATACTTTTTGAACAGACCTTGTAGATGTAGTATCTTTGTAACCTTCAGTACCCACGTTTGAAGCCCAACTCTCTGCTACTCAAAAGGGGCTTTAACATTCAACAGGTACTTGATATACGTGATGTGCTGACCTTTGTCACTGAGCACAAGTATTTCTGTTTCAATCGGAAAATTTATTTAGAGAAGCAGGGAGTTCCCATGGGTTACCCTTTATCTGCTATTTTAGCAGAGCTCATCATGAGAGAAATCGAGCAAAGAACTTTCAATGGATGGCAAGCAGGGATGCTTGCCATCCATTACCTGTTGCTGTACTTGCGTTACATCGATGACATCCTCATAGCGTGAGAAGATACAGAAGAGACATTTTTTACCTTCATGCAGCAACTCCCAAGCATATATCCTTGAATTAACTTCACTTGGGAGAAAGAGAATGATGCAGCAATAATGTTCTTGGATTTGTGTATATGTAAATCTCCTGAGGGGCCACAGTTCTCAGTTCACCACAAATCTAATATGACACCACATATTATCCCAGCAGATGCTTTCCAGCCTTTGCGGTATATTAACGCCACCATCACTGCCCTCATTAGAAGAGCCTTCTTACTGTTTTCAATGCAAGTCCTGGTAAATTTTGAATTAAATACTATTAGTTTGGTGGTACATAATGCCGGTTTCTCACATGCCAAGTTCATGCATGTGCTCAACATGGTAAGAAAATCCCTATTTCCTAGTACCATGCTTTATAATAAAAGGGAATTTTCTGTAGTACAATCATCATTGACATACCTCAGACCCCTTCCATACATATTTGCTGTATTTTTAGGCAGCACAACCTTCTGCCCCTATCCCCACTAACGAAGTCTACACAGGCTCATCTGCAATGATTAGGATAAGTTCTCCACTTTAGAAAAATCAGGGGATGTTAATACAAAGTAAATTGGGGACACAACAAGAATGCTTGTCAGCTGCCTAGCAGAACACCAAGAAGATGTAGTGAAGGAAAGGCATACCACAGAGCTTACAAAAAAGGTGCTTGAGCAGGGTTACAACCCACTATGGACCCAAGCAACAATGCTCAAATGCTGCAAAAATCAAAAACTCGTCTTTATATGGGAGTCTCTTCTCACAGCAACCACAGAGGCATGCAACACTTTCACTCTTGACCTTCCGAATGTACGAGTCACACTGTATAAGCAATTAAACAACAATCCTCATCCACCGTCACATTACTAACATGGTCCTACATCCATATATGTGCCACTTTGAAACTTACATTTTATAATGCATGCACAACTTCAAACATGTTTGAAAATTGGTAGCGTGTTCTTAACGGTATTGCTAAATATTTTAATTTGAAAATATGTGTTCTGTTCTCAGAATATTCTGTATGTTCTTTTAAAATATTTATTTGCCTGATGATGACGATTATAAATTCATCAAAAGTACTTGTGATAAAGAAGCAATTATAACACCAAACTCAGTGAACTCTCCATCCTACTATAATTTTTTAATGATTTTATTAAATAATTTAGAACCATCTGGAAGTGATAACTGGCTGAGTGCCATAGTAGAGGTGTACTTAGGCCATGGGCATAGCCAGCACTATGAGTAACTGCATATCTAAAGTTTAAATACATCTGGAAGTGAAAAATTGTTCAGAGATCCAGGTAGCATAACTGGCAAGCACACTGCACAGTAAGCTGAGATTGTGAGTTTAAATCCTGTTCTGGGCTAATTTTTTCTTCCAGACGGTTCTAAATTAATTAATAAACTTATTAAAAAATTATAATTATTAATTTAGACAAGAGATGGCACCTAATGTTTACTTCTAATACCAAATTAATTAACATCTAATCATTAATAATAGCAAATTTATAGCCCTATTAATTACAGTGATTGTTTAGTTGAGTATTAATATGGAAATTATTTGAAGAAAGTTTGGTTTCAAATAATCTTATAAAGGGGGAAAAAATATAATTATTACTAATTTTGTTGGATTTTATACATTATATAAATATCATTTTAAAAAAATTTTAAGAGACATTATACCTTCCACGTAAAGTTACAGCTTCATCCCATTCTTTTCTGGCCATGCATTCAGCCACTTGTTTTGTCTGAAATAATTATTAAAAATATTAAACTGAGAATATGCATAACTGACATTTTTAATCAGTTGTTTATTTTTAAAACTTCAATACAAAACAATATTAAATCCCAGTTTTAAATTTATTCTAAATTTAAAAATCAAATAAAAATATTTTTATTTAAAATTCCAACAATTTCAATAATTTCTAAAATCAAACAACTATCCTGATTGTTGTTTGATTTGATCTGTCCTTTTAACTGTTCATTTTGCTGCTAACTGATATTTTGATAAAGAAAACTGAAGTAAAAAAACAAAACAAAGGGTAAATATTTTTTTACTAAAAAGTAAATTTAATTATAACTGGTCAAATTATGTTCAGAATAAATTACAACAACAGGTAATAATAAAATTTTGGCAATATTATTTTCATAATATTTTCTTATAGATCGTTAAGTTTATGCATTCAACAGAGGGAAATGAATACAAATTTCATTTTAAGTGCAGACTCAGTTTATTTTCAATGTGTAATCCATTTGGTTTAAAAAATGAAATAAAGAAACTAAAGTCTTTGATGTTTTCAAATCCTGCGTGTTTCTTTTATTAGAATTCCCTTTTGCAAACCACTGTTTTGATTCCTCTTGCAAAGATTAATTTGATTAAAAATTATATATATATACATAAATAGCAAATAAATTAATTTACCTTTTCTACACACTGCATTAGAGGAACACGTACAGCTTGGTTCCCATCTAAAGACACTACACAAGCTTCTGATGTAGGTGTGGCCTCTAAAACTGCTAATACAGCTTCAGCACCCATCCTTGAGCCCTAAAGATTAAAATGTTCATTTATTTAAAGTTTACAAATTTTAAAAATTTATTGATTGTAATTTAAAATATTACTCACTAATACTCTGTCAAATGCTGATGGACTACCTCCACGTTGTACATGACCAAGAACTGTAACCCTAGTATCTTGTTTCAGATTGTCAACAACCACCTACATAGAAAAATTAATTAATAAAATCATATTTACATGTTCTTTCTGATTTGAATTTGTTTTTTAATTTCAATTATAAACAATTAAAATTACAATAATCATTATGATTAAAGGATAAATACAAATAACATGTAATTGATATTTTTGCAGTAAACATGGAATGCATATACTTAAATTCTCACATGACAAGCTTATTCATGGGGATAAAAATGTATCGTGAAAGTAATCATATCATCCACATCTGTTACTGACTGTTCTCTACCCTTGTAACAGTCTGTGCCAAGTGTTTCTCCTGAATGGTAGTGACTGAAGCTAATGGCATAATTAAGATTTTGCTCTGGGGGAAATCTGGGAGGGTGATCTAAAAAGTATAATGAGAATGAAGAAAAATTAAGTATCCCTTACATATATGCTAGAAAAATGTTCTAGCATGTTCCAAATACATCTAGAACAGTGATTCCCAAACTTTTTCAATCCACTGCCCCCTTTGTTCCGTAAAGTTATACCCAACGCCCCCTAACCAATTTTCTCTTGTGTGAGAAAAGGATTGGAAATATTCTTAGGAAAACTTTTCTATGAATCTCACACTTTGTGCCCTTACTGTACATTGTTCTCAACATCTGGAAATCATTAAANTTTGTTCTGTGTCCAAAACCATTGATTTTTAAAGTAATTCAAGGTTGCCAAAAACTGTTCCCATCTGCTCTATAAACTTTGTTATTAGTGCCATTTCCCTATCTCCAACAGTTTTGGGGAAAAAACTACTATATGTCACCAGTGAATCACCCTGTATATATAAGAATTCATTATATTTATATATAATGAATTCTTCACACATACAAAGTGTTTCAAAATTCCTGTTAAAACTTACAGAACAGATTGCAGATTCCTTAAGAAAAATAAACATAAAAATGTTTTGTAACATTTTTTGAATAAGCCTTTGAAAGGCTAAAGGCCATTTTTTAAAGGCCTTTAGCCTTTCAAGTAATTTGTTTATGAGATTAAAAGTGAGAAATAAATAATAACACAATTCAAATAAAATCATCTAAAAATCAGTGTTCAGATAATTTACAAAAGTTTTTGATTACTAAAGAAATGCACCGAGACTACAAAGCTTGAAATAGTCTAATGTTAAATAATATGGCCAGATTAATTATTGGACTTGATCTTAGCATCTGTGAAATTAATTAGCCATGTAATTTAGACTAAAGGTAAGCAGTTAAGCCACCATCTTGTACTAAATTAAAAAATTTTCTAAAAAGTTTCTAGAAATATTAATGCACACATAGATAAAGAAAATTAAGACAGTATAAATAATGAAATAATTGAAACTGAATAATAAAATTGTTTCATATAATATGACACATAAACTCAAGAAAGTTATTTAAAATAAATCACGTGCACATTTTTTTGATATTTTAATGATTTTTATAAAATTTTATCATTAAAATCTAATATACTTTAACATACAATTATCCTGTTTAGATACCTGTTTTAATTTTTTGCATAATACATCTGGCCAGTTAGCTTCAGGAGGCCATTCAGGAATAAAAACGAAATCAGCTTCTGTTGCTAAAGCAGTCCTAATTCTCTTTCCTGAAATTCAATGTAAAAATTAATTTTGTTTAAAAATTTCCTATACTAATCATTATAATATACTATTAATAAATAAATATAAGATAAGAGTAAAATTGACTAATTACCAATAATTGATTCTTAGTCAGAATTTTAAATTCAATTAACTAAGTTCTCCTACTAATATTTAAAATTATATATGTACATAGCTGTCTGCAGAGGGGGCAAATGAGGCACTTGCCCACTCTTGGGATTGAGTAAAAAAAATTTACAAATTATAATTGTAGAAATGATTGAGATATGTAACCTTACACTCTCAGTCATGGGACACTGTTGCAATACTGTATTCTATAATCTATCTGTGAAAAAATTCAGCAACGAGTTGCATAACTTTCCTGACAAACAAATTTAAAATTGTATGTGGTACCATCTGTTATGATATTTTATTAAAATCTTTTTTATATTAATAATTATTATAAAATGGCAAAAAGTTTAATTTTGAGGATAGTGACGGCTTTTATAAAAAGTTGTAAATTCTAATAATGAGTAAATTTGTTATTAAGTCTCACTCCACTAAAGATATAACATATGACTCTCCTATGAGCTTTAACTATCAAAATTTAATAACATTGTAACTTATGTATAACAGGCATTAATGTCAAATATCATTTCTTAATCATTACCCCATCTTGAGGCATTAAACAAAATAGATGCCAAAATACACATATCCATGGAATGTTTTCCACTTTTTTGATTTTTTTTGGGTTCAGGGTATCTGAAAACATGGAGATTTGCAACGACTTATATGGTCAAATTTGACAGAATTCCAATATTTTTCTGTGTTATATAGATAAGTCAAGAAAGTAAAACCCAAAAATTAAATAAAAATTTATTGATATAGTTATTTGTCTACAAGCTTTTCTTCCTTCAGAAATTTTCTGTGGATGCCCATCTATATATTATATATATAAGATTACTTTATTTTTATAATTAAGTATATTTAACTACTTCCTTACAAATATAACTGACTGGTTAAAAAAGTCATTCTTGCTTATGTATAAAGTTGAATAACTCATTTTCATGAAATTAGAGAAAATAAGTAAATACACAAAATGAAAACAGATCACTAAGGAAAAGACACTGCTTCATGCCCAGAATAAAAAAAAAAATAACAATTCAAGCCTGATTCTTAAACTAACTGATAAAATAAGATAAAGAATGAAAACAGATAAACTTTGCTCCCAGCTTAGAAACTTTTAGGAAAAAGAAAAATAAGAGTTTTAGAAAAAACTGGCCAATATCTGGAACACTGTTAGGTTTAAGAAAATATGACCTATTGTAAAAGGTGTTTATTTTAGTCCTGTACCGTCCATACACTGGCTCAAAAGTGATCCTTATAACTTAAAATAATACTCTATTTTGTTCTGTGTCCAAAACCATTGATTTTTAAAGTAATTCAAGGTTGCCAAAAACTGTTCCCATCTGCTCTATAAACTTTGTTATTAGTGCCATTTCCCTATCTCCAACAGTTTTGGGGAAAAAACTACTATATGTCACCAGTGAATCACCCTGTATATATAAGAATTCATTATATTTATATATAATGAATTCTTCACACATACAAAGTGTTTCAAAATTCCTGTTAAAACTTACAGAACAGATTGCAGATTCCTTAAGAAAAATAAACATAAAAATGTTTTGTAACATTTTTTGAATAAGCCTTTGAAAGGCTAAAGGCCATTTTTTAAAGGCCTTTAGCCTTTCAAGTAATTTGTTTATGAGATTAAAAGTGAGAAATAAATAATAACACAATTCAAATAAAGTCATCTAAAAATCAGTGTTCAGATAATTTACAAAAGTTTTTGATTACTAAAGAAATGCACCGAGACTACAAAGCTTGAAATAGTCTAATGTTAAATAATATGGCCAGATTAATTATTGGACTTGATCTTAGCATCTGTGAAATTAATTAGCCATGTAATTTAGACTAAAGGTAAGCAGTTAAGCCACCATCTTGTACTAAATTAAAAAATTTTCTAAAAAGTTTCTAGAAATATTAATGCACACATAGATAAAGAAAATTAAGACAGTATAAATAATGAAATAATTGAAACTGAATAATAAAATTGTTTCATATAATATGACACATAAACTCAAGAAAGTTATTTAAAATAAATCACGTGCACATTTTTTTGATATTTTAATGATTTTTATAAAATTTTATCATTAAAATCTAATATACTTTAACATACAATTATCCTGTTTAGATACCTGTTTTAATTTTTTGCATAATACATCTGGCCAGTTAGCTTCAGGAGGCCATTCAGGAATAAAAACGAAATCAGCTTCTGTTGCTAAAGCACCAACTAAAGCTAAATATCTTGAAAATAAATAAATATTTCATTAAATGACTATTTTGCTGACTTATTATTAATCTCCATAAAAAAAAAAAAAAAACATTTTATAATGACCTAACATACAGCTTATATACTAGGATTTATGTTTAATGATGTTATCAAAATTTAATTTTTTTTAAATAAAATTCCCAGAATATTTTCTACTTAATACAAACTTATTCCTGATATTAAATAGTCTAATAAACTATTACATATTCTAATATATAAAAATCACAATTTTAATAATTTATTAAATTCTAGAAATGTAAGTAAACAAATTTATCTATAAAAACTAGAATTGAAGAATGATTATCACCTTTTTATTATATTTATTTTCAGTAAAAGTTTTATATATGAAATTATTTAAATTCTGTTAATTTTATGTTTCAAATAAACAAACTAATATACATTTAAAAAAAGGCAAAATTTACAATTGAATTTTCATTTGAAATTTACTTGAAAATTTTCAAAAGAAAATTTATATTTTTGTAAAAAGAAATGTTATTTAAATTTTTAACTAGTCAATGTCTTTTCTATTAAAATTTATCTGTAGAAGTTAAATATTTTGATAGTAGAAATGTTACAAAAATTTTGTATGTGAATGGTATAAACAAATACATATACACAGGTATAATGCATGTAAATTGAGTTTTATGTTATTTTCTTGATTCTAAGATTCACCAAGAGCTTGAAGTCAAATTTTATGACTAATAATATTTCCCTCAATAAAATCTAATGAATTTTATTAATGTTGTTAAGTAACAAATTAGAATAATACAAATGTCATAAAATAGATTGTTTTGTAGCTCTGTTTCCATGATCTCATATATAATTACTGTTCAATTTTAATGCTACATAATAATGTCCTCTTAAAGTCCTTTTAAATGTCATAAAGAGGTTTAATTTAAACATTTATTACCAGTAAAGCTCATTTGAACTGATATAAGCAATAAACACATTAATAAATAAGATAAACATGTCTAAAATGTTGACTATTGATGCATATAGTCTACTTATGTAAAAGAGCCGATGATGTTACAGACAGTAAACATATGATACCATCAATTGTAAGATGCATCACTACTTTTAACAAGTAATAATGAGTATTAAAAATTTATAACATCATTTTGTAATAAAAATAATAATGAAAATATAATCGTTCAATGAAATTTAAGTTTTTGCAAATTTACTACGATGAGCAAAAAAGTGTAAATGATTGAAGAAATAAAAAATAATTGATTTTTACTTAAACTAAGCAAAAGTTTATTAAAAGTATACATTTTTACATTTTTAATAAAGAATATGTCACCTGCTAACAATATGCTCCTCATCTCAAATCAAAAATATAAACTTTTAAATTCTCATAATCTTAAATCATCAAATTTTGTTATGTTAAATTTGGGCATTTGGCAAATTTGGTTATACCAATTTCGCCAAATGGTACATTTAAAGTATGGTGGAAAATTTCATATAACATGTATAGCACTATCTAGTGAATTTTGTCAATGACATATTTGAGAAACAATTTTATAATAATTTTTGAGTTTTGATTTGCTTATATTCATGTAAATCAGTTACTTCCAATGGTATGACCCAGATTTAAATAAACCTAAGTACATTGACAACATATTGCATTAGAATTTATCAAGTAATAAGAAAACTAATTGTAACTTTTTTACAAATGTTTTGGTGAGCAAAAACAAAAAAAGTTGAATAAAAAAACAAAAATTAAGAAAAAATAAACAGGATTTGATTAATAGAACATGTATTTTTACTGCAATCATAATCAAATTCTTCTTCACTTAATTGTTAAAATTTAACAAATTCTTCTACTAAAACTTTGAATTTGACAATGGCTGCAATAGAAATCCATATTCCACTAAAAAACTGAATTAATTTATGTAAAACTAGTGATGTACAGACATAGGATATTAAATTACAAATTACAAAAATTAATTTTACCTACCCACAATGTCGACCCATAACTTCCATAATGAATGTTCTCTGATGGCTAAAATAAAAATTTTCATGTATAAAAACACTGAAGTTTAGTATATTTAAATTGTAATAAATTATAAAACATAAGACATGTTAATACATTATGTAATTCAACATAAAATTCAAATATTCAACTTGAAATAATATCACATTTTTGTAATAATAAATTAAACTTAATGCATGGTATTTAGTAACTAACAATATTAATTAATTTCTGTTAAGTAAGTAAATTTTGTTATTTATTACAATTTAAGCATAAATATTTTTCAATTTAATAAATAAATTGAAAAATATTGGATCATCCTTGTCACTTTTTATTATATATTTTTATTTAAGAGTTTAAAAGTAATTATTGAGACTTATGATCAGTTTCTAATATGAAAAAGAATTTATGTTTTAACTGATATAATTGTTATAATTTAACACTATTTAACTTTTGATAACTACAGATTAGAAAATTACAATTAACAAAAGTTATTTACTCATAATAATCAAAAATAATTAAATTTTATTTCAATGTCATTACATAAAGAAATTAAAATGAGAATCATTATCAAGAATTTAATGAATTAGTTTATACATCATAATTAATTAATAAAAGAAATACAAGTATGTTAAGAAACAAATTCATTAATTTGAATTCTTATAGTCTATATGCACATAGAATAAATTTCATTATTTAATATCATTTAAATGTTGAAGTGAAAATTTGAAAATAGAAAAACAAGACAAAAAAAATGTTCATTTTCCAAAGTAATGTTATTGGTGTTTAATTGAAATAATTTTGATAACTAGTTATTATATAAGCTTAGGATAAAAAATTAATAAGTATCATAAAATAAAAATATAAATAAATTTCTTTTAACTTATTTTCACAAATGATTCATTTGTTCCATGATAAAAATTATTTATTTTAAAAAATTTCTTTGTAATTAATAAATATTCAATAGCTTTAATTGATTTAATCTAAAATTATTCAATATTTTTATATGAAAATATATTAATTTGCATTGCTATCAATTTGAATCTTTGTTACATACTGTTAAACTATATTAAAACAGAAATGTAGTATATAATTAAATATTATAAAATTTTAGTCTTTTTTTTAATCTATTTTTTTATATAATTTTATTCTAGGGATACAATTTAAAAAAATTGTAGACCTGTAAATTTCCACTGTTGTCTGTCCATCAGTCTTTTCTTGATCTCGAGAACAAAGTTACATAGATGAAATCCAAGACCAGATATGGAAACCTTAGGGGCAGGAGGCCCCAATTAACTATATAAAAACCTCCGATGCAAACCGGAAGACACATGAATTCAATTTAAAAATTTTCCCCTGAAAGATGTTAGATGATCAGCACAACTCTATTGTTAAAGGAAAAGTATGATGTACAGGGGCAAGCAACTCCTAATTTGAGATGGAAAGCATATACAGTATTTTAAGTTACATAAATTAAAAATTGTAGCCAGTCATTTTGACAAATGTCACAATAAATAATTTTTTGTGACATTGGATATTTTACATGGGTTTTAGAGGTTTTTTGAAGGGGAGGCAAGGATTGTCTTAAGAGATATGAAAATAGAACTGATTACAAAAAGTATTTTCTTCAAATATTTTAGTTTTTTAATAAGGAAAACCTAAATAAAGAGCAATTAAACTTTACAATTTTGCTAATAAAGTAGCTAACTAGTTTCTAATACATTAAAAATAATCATCAATTTGAATTCTGTAAAAGAAGTCTCAGAAGATTTACAATTACACACAAACTACATATATATGTATAATATATAATTTCTGAAGCATGTTTTCCACATGTTATTACATTACTATGACTGAATTCTATGCCAATACTAATAAAAAACAAATTATAATATATGTTAAGTTTTTTTAATTAATCAAAAAAATAATACAGTATATATTTTTTCAAATAGAATTTTAATGTAATTTCATTGTTCATTTATAATTAATTTATTGAAAAATAATATTAAATGTGTCCTTTTATCTTCATAATGTAATTACTGGTTAAATCGATATTTAGGCAACACAAAAATTTTCCAAAACAAACCTTGAAGCAGTTGTAACAATTGCATCAATAGCTTCAATAATACGATGGAGAGCAGTATCTGTACCAATTGTCATGTCTGTTCCACAGAAATCATTATCAATAGAACCAACCATACCAACAATATTTAAATGGCTACATTCTGATCTTTTCTCTGGAGTTATTGTACCTAGAAACAAATATCGTGTAAATATTTAAAATAAATTATACTAAACATAGTTTAAAAAATCTCGAAACCTTTCTCTACTAATTCATCAAGTAATGATGACCATTCTTGTCTGAATAAGTTAGCTCCAGTTAAACTACCATCACCACCAATTACTACTAAATTTGTTATGCTTCTATTTACAAGATTAGCTGCTGCTTTCAACCTTCCTTCTCTCTCTCTGAAATCTTTGCATCTGGCACTACCTATCACAGTACCACCCTAAAATATTAAACAGTAAATTATTTGTTTGGTGAAGACAGTATAATAAATTTAATTTTTTCAATTCATAAAATGAATAAATTAAAAAAATAATAATTTGCATTTAAATTAATAAACTTCATATGATATTAATGATTTAATAAAAAGTTTATAACATTTGCATTAATACTATTAATTATGATATACTTATTACAGCAAATTACTGAAAAAAAGATAAATTAAAATATTAAGCATAATAAAAATTAATGTCATTTTTTTTTAATATTTACTACATATTAAGCTAGTTAAAATTATTTTTGGGCTGCAATTTGAAAAAACTTTAGATCCATAAATTCCTACTGTCCATCTTCCTTTAATCTTGAGAATGGAATTAGATAGATGAAAGACAAGACCAGATACGGAAACCTTAGAGCAGAAGGCCCGATTAACTCTATATGAACTTTTGATGCAAACCGGAAGTCAAGTTATTTCAATTCATAACTTTTCCCTTAAAAAGAGCTAATAGATGAGTGGCACAACTCTATTGTTAAAAGTATAATGTACAGGGGCAAGATACTATTTATTTGAGGTGGAGAGCATACATTTTAAATTAAATAAATTAAAACAATGATTAAAAATTTCAACCTGGCATTGTGACAATGTCACAATAAATAATTGCTCATTATAATTTCAAAATATATTATAACTGCAATAAAATATGTAAACCTCTACTATATTTATGAAGCTTTCAATATGTATTCTAGTGCTTAATATATAAAAGTATACAAAAGTAAATGGGTTACTTCAGTGCATAACATTAAACAAAAAAAAAAGAAATTGATAAACTAAAATTTAGTTTTAAGGTAATTTTAAAAACAAATGAAAAATAGTATCATAAGAATTTACATCAAGCCAACAGAGGAGAAGTATAGAACCTGTAAAAAATATATATTGTTAAATAAAGCAGATGTACTGTACTAACAGTCTGCTGTCTTAAAATACCACTTCATTGTGAGTTGTAAAAAAGAAATTAAACAAATATTTTTTCATAGCACTAATAACCTTCTATGGCTTAAAAAATGTCTTTCCAATACATTCTTAAGTCAGGTTTTACTGAACATATACTAAAAAATATTGATGGGAGAGGAAAAAGCTGCAATATAGCATTAAGCTTAAACATGTAAAAACCTTAAAACTTTTCTAGATAATTCCATAGTAAAATTGGATAAAGCATAATTATTACAAAAAAATCAGGAATAATAAATTATGCTAATTTTATAGAGCTATAGCTCTATAACCATTATATATATAGCTCTATACTCACGCAAGCATTCTAATAGAATTAATTACCACAATTAAGGAAACTGCATATGAAAATATAATAATATTTGTTTAAAAAAACAAAAAATTAAATTAAAATATCGAGTTGTTTGTATATATTCTATTGTTTTTCAGATTTATATGTTTAGATTATTATTATTTTCATTTTTCTGTTAATAACATTTTTATTGTTTTAACATAAATTAAAGAATTTCTATGATCTATAAATAAAAAACTTATTCTTATTTACTTAATATAGAAATTTAAGTTTTAATGTTTGTTTTTTTTTCTTGTAAAATGAATTCAGAATACTTTGTTCTATTTATGTTTTAATTTTTTTCTTGTGTGTGTGTTTGTAACCTAATGATGCCTATTGTGGTAGTTGAAATCACTTGGTTAATTTTTTGTATTTAACATAATGGATATTCTAAGCTTTTTAATTTCCTGTATAACAATTTAATATAGATAAAAATGCACAGAAAAGTTTAATTAAAGTGATAAGTCTAATTTTAAGATTTCTTAACATGTTAAAGTTTATTATGTTAAAGTTTATTATGTTGCTGTAGTCATCAAAGTATTTCTACTGTATCTTAATATTTGTGGTGTAGATAAAAAAATAATTTAAATTAAAATGTTAATAAGAATAAAAAGTAAGAAATTAAATGTTAGATTAAGTCTAAATTTTTTATGAAATTAAATTATTTGATTTACCTTATGTATTATTCCTGAAACACTAGCCCAGGATGCTTCAATGATATGGTCACCACCATCAACCATTCCCTGATAACCTTCTTTAATGAAGAAGACTTTACATCCAACAAACATACCCATTCTCACTACGGCACGAACGGCTGCATTCATACCTACAATAATAATTTTATAAGTATATAGTCTCAAAACTTTAATAATAAATATAGAAATATCCAATTTAAATTATGATGGGGAAAGATATATTAAAAAACCTTTTTAATGTCAACAGTATTTTAAATTTCATGTGAAGAATAACTGTAAATTTATGACTTATAAATTTAAAACATAAAATATGGTATATTAAGTAGTTATAAAAAAATCAAATTTTCAGTTTTGAATTATTGTTATAAAAATGCATCATGTTTTTAAATAAATAAAATAACTGGTTAATAAGCATGATGAATACAATGTAGACAATGTATGGACTAGTTTAATAAATTCACTTCATTTCTTTCTACTTACTATAGAAAGAAATGAAGTAAGTTACCTTCAAAATGTATATAATTTACATAATTGTTCGTTATTAATTTACTTTTATATTTATTATTTGTAGTATAATTTATTTATGTTATAATTTGATGTAAAACAATAATTAAATTAATGTTAGGAATTAAATTCTTTATTTTAAATTTATATTTTAAAATCAGAAATTCTATTGTATTTTAATTAATATTCCACTTCAATTTGTTATATTGAATATGAATATTTTATGCTGAGGATGACCATATTATTAAACGTAAAAGGTTTCATTTATTAAAATTGTTGGCTTCCTGAACTAAGCAGCTACAGTCATTTATTTATTTATATATATTACAAAATTATTTGGCAAAACTTAAAAATTGAATTTATTTATTTAATGAAGTTCATTTTTTAAATTATAAATTACTTAAATTGTACATTTTTATAAATTATTTTGAAATATTCTGAAGTGCATAAATTACATAACATATATTTAATCATCATGTTACATTAAATATCATTTTAAAAATAATATTTTACTTTTTTTTATGTATAAACATTTTTGTAAATTAAAAAAACCTAATATGTCTTTTTAATTATACATATTTTAAAAAAATTTAAAGATTTTATTTTATTTAAAAAAAAATGAGGCTAACAATGAATCAGACACAAACACTGTCCTCTATTTGACCTATAGGCATTAAGCCAAGAATTGTTCGAAGGAGAAACTATGTTTAGTCAATTAACTAAACTTGTCAAAAAAAAGTGTAAAATCATTTTAATATATATATCTAGATTAATATAATGATTAACTTTCATAAATATATTTTAACACCCATCAAATAAATCATAACAACTATTTATATTACCTTGAGAATCTCCGCCGCTGGTAAAAACGGCAATAACTTTCCCTTTAGAATCAATCGTTTGAGGGATTTTTCCAGCCATTTTTACCTGAAATAAACTGCACATTTTAATTACACAAAAGTTTAAGATTTATTACAATAAAAAGTTATTATAGTTGGATTTAGATTAGAGTGTAAAGACTTTATATAACTCTAGTGATATGACAAAGGACATATTTTTAAAAATATGAAAATTTGACTTAAAATACATTTAAAAGAGGAAAATATTCTTTAAATAGACTTTATTTAACGAATAAACATTTTTGATTCATGTTTGGATATTCTGTAATTAAGTTATTAAATTGAATAATGGGTAAATATTTTAATAACGTGAAAAATTTGCAGGATCGATAGAAATTCCATAAGTCACGAAAGGTGGGAGTTATCAGCATCTTAACGTATCGACTGATTATCGTCTTCTTCATATGCTAAAGGTAACCTTTGGAAAGGTCACTCGTGTCACACCTCGCAGACGCATTTCTACGGCTCTACACACTTAAACACGTTAATTAACTCATCCAAACGATCAAGATTATTAATTAATTACATTAAAAACTGGTTTATAAGAATATTTATATATTTCTTTCAACGCTTACTTTTATTTAATTCCACGTAAACTGCTAGGAACTATATTTATTTTCAATAATTCTCAAACACGTCTATCCTTGAGCAAATCGAATCCCGTACGAGTATCCTTCAGCTTCTCCTTTCCTCTTCTGTACGGTCATGCCTTCAACTTTTCATCAATTTCCAGTCAAAACAATGAACCTGGCACCACCTAGTGTTAAAATTTAAATTATGTATGTATATATATATAAATATATATATAAATTTTTATTCGTATCTGATTTAATATATAAATAATGTACAAATAAATAGATATAAATAAATAATTTAAATAAAACATTACTAACGAAATTAAGTTTAAAAATTCTTGTTTGCGTTGCTACGCAACCTGAAGGGAAACTTGCATCAGGTTGCTATGACTACCCACGGATAAAATGTTTATATACAGATTTAAGTAAAAAAAAAAAATTGTAATTACAATTTAAATCTTATAAAATGTATAAATTCTGTTATTTACATTTAACTTTTAACATAAATTAATTAAATATATTTTAAAAAATTTAAAACGTTAATATTATTAAATACATTTATTTATTTATCTAATTTATGCCATTTCTTATTTTTACTTTTACTAATTTTTTTTAAATTTATTTTTTCAAAAAGCATTGTTCCAAAAACCGGATTTTGTCGGAAAATTATACCGGAAAATATTATAAAAAATTGAAAAGAATGAGTCACGTGACCCAAAAAGCATACTTTTCAAGTCACGTGACTCGTTCTTTTTAATCGCGTGTCTCTTTTACGGGGGCATAAAAACCGAGAAAAGTTAAATTTTTAAAAAAATTTCTATAAATATTTTTATTTGTAGAAGCTTAAAATAGTTATCTCGACATAAAAAAAAACATTTTTTTTAAATGTATCGGTGTTTACAGCGCACTTAAATTGTTTACACGCGAAAATGTTTTCAGTTTTTTGACTTTTCGCCAAGTAAACAGTTAAAATATATATATATATAAAGTATTGAAGGAAAATACAGGATTTAAATTAATTATAATAAAGTAGGAAGCGTATTTAATGTTAAGCTACAGTGATTTCAGGATGTGGGCTTTACTCCCGATGTTATACGTGACACAACGCAGGTACACAAACTGGAATAAGTTTGGAATGTTTAATATAAAGTGGGAGAGAAAAAAAAATCTCGCTTCATTAGTAAATACTGTACACGGCTCCAAATTTTTATAAATAGCAACAGAAATTAAAAAAAAAAATAAAATAAAATTTACACGTTTTACTCCACGTACCATTTCTGTTCAATTAGTGGAATAGATAAGGTTATCGATAAGGATAATTACACATATATACGTAATTTATCCGGAGTTATAATTAATACTACAGTTACATCGATCAAAGGCCTTGCATTCTTTTCTCGATAAACGTTCCTTTTCTAGTTGTGGTGAGTTAAAGAAAAGATCACTTGTTTACAGGTGGCTGACGCACGTGACTACTGAAATGGATCCAAAAACAATTCACGTTAGAAGCAAAGTAAGAATTTAATACCGATTTATATAAATTTAAGTTGTGTTGTAGGAAGATTTAGTTTCATTTGCGTTTTGTATGAGAGTTTGAGCTTGAATCTAGTTGTTAAAAGGGCTGTGTGTTAATTAAATTTACGATTCGTAGTTACAAAGCGTAACGTCACAATTGTTAGTGTTTGAATTTCTCACGTCATAAGGAAACAATCTCGTGTTTATAATATTTTATTGTTTTCGTGTCTTGTTACGTTGTTTATCATCATTTAGTTTGAATTGCTTGTTTGTGGGAGAGTTTAAAAGCTTTGAATAATTTGTGGCTGATAATAACTGCCAATTTACAGTTACAATCTTTATTAAAGTCAAGACTTAAAGTTATATGTCCTTGATTTTTCTTACTGATAGTTAATATGTAATATTTACAATTTTACATCTTATGACTATAAAATGTAAATTTACAGTTCATAGTCGCAAGGTGTAAAGTTACAAATAGTCTGAATTGTTTTTATTGTAAGGAACCAATCTAATTTGTTTTAGTAGTTTATAGGTCAATTGCTTCTTTATTGTTTTTGCTCAATTACATAACTTTATTTTAATTACATAACTTTATTTTATGTAGTTAAAATTCAAATAATTGTCCTCAAATATATTTGAAAGATTAAATGTATACATTAAATGTTAATTTTATTATTTATATGAAGTCTCATTCTGCCATGGTTCTGATATAAGCAACATATGGATGTTTCTATTTTTTTTTTTTTTAAAGAAAGCCCTATAATAATTTAATGTATGCACATTGCTCTAAAACTGATAATGCATATTACTTTAATATTGTTATAAGTCATTAGCTGAAATCAATAATTTATCATTAGTCTCTAATAAAATTATGTAAATGAAAGATAACATAATTTATACCACAGATTTGCATTAACTGATTACATAAAACTTATTTAAACAGGGAACTGTATTGTTTTAATTAGTATAATAAGAGTTTTGAATATCTCAGGTTGTTAGTTGTTTTAAATACAATATGCTTATTTAGAACAGTTGAAGGTAAGGTTTAAAATGTGTTATAGTAATTAAAAAGTGTTTTGGTTCATACCAAAACAGTTTAAATTAATTTTATGCTAATTATAAAGACGGTTTGTGACGTCTGGGGGCAATATACTGTGTATTGTTGTTTAGGGCTGTTTTAATAGCATGCACTGCTATTAAACAGTTTTTTTAACATTTTCAATATTAATATTAGCATAGCATTTAATTTTTTGTATACAGTTTCCTTCTAATTATTTACTCTCTATTAATAGAGCTAATAATGCCCTTTCACATTTAGCATCTTGAATATATGCTCCTCTTCATCCTTCACTATGCCTCTGGTTAATTAAAATAAAATTCTTAAATTTCTTTTATTTTTGTCCTTATAATATTTAAAAGTAATAAATCCTTCATTCCCAAAATATTGTTTAGCAGAAAAATTGAAGAAATTAATTTTTAAACTGTAAATTATTAATATTTAAATGACATTGATATATAGTCTTTTATCATAGATTTAAAATAGATATATTAAATTTAAGAAGTGAATAGATACAAAATGCATATCAATTATCAGTTAAAGTATACAGATTAGATAATTTTCATTCAATGAAAAAAAAAAATGCAAATTTAATCACTGTAAATTTGATACTGTTGCTAAAAGTCAACAACTTAATTTTTTTATATACAGTATCTGTGTATTTTATATTATTATTATCATCATCAACTAGACACTTTCTGTTATCAGGAGTTAATTTTTGATGTTTAATAATTAAATATTAAATCTGCTAAAAATACTATTTTCCTCAATATATTATATATACATCTTTATAATTTTTATTATTGATAGAATATAATGAAATTAAATTTCATTTCATTCTAATAAAAATTATTAGAAGTGGCCTTTTTTAAAGCATGAATATCATTCATACATCTATGTCTTCTTCAGAGTTTGTTTTCCAACTGGGCTTTAAATCTTTGCAAAATTTATGTTAGTTTGGCATCTTTGTTTGCAAGAAAAGAATAAAATACACTGTGTAACATCTTCATTGGGTTTTGTCTGAGAAATTATAAAAATAAGCAATAGCTGTACTGAATTCACATTTACTGAAAGAAATTTTGATTTTGACATGAACTTCTTTTGTACATCTAAAATGAATTTCCAATAGAATTAAAATATAAAAAACAACTTTTTAATGTTTGACATGGTATCTTTTTGATTGTACACTGGTATATGCTTTCTTGAAGTAGCAAACAAATATATAAAGTGCCAAAATGTATAAAATATTATTTTAAAAGGTATATGCTTTCAATGGCCACTTTGGTTGTGTGGGGAATACAGTAGTGTGGATTATGAAAAAGTATTATTTCCATTCCAACAATTTTCTATGGGATATATGCCAGTGTGGCTTATACTGCTATGGGTTATATGCATGAAATTATAATAATCATAACATATATAGCAAGTTCTCATTTAACATCACTGATAGGTTCTTAGAAAAACAATAAGCAAAATGATGTATAACAAAATGTATAATTACCATAGGTTAATTGATATAAACTAGATATAATTTGATTAATTTTATCATAATTTTTTTGTGTTTGCAATCTCCAGCATTTACTTTCTACTTTATAGAATCAATTTTACTGTTCATAAAGTTCAAATAACTTTTTTGTAATTAAAGCAGGAATGAGGCTTTTAATAAACAGGTAAATATTTACAGCATAAGTTATATTTTTATATATATTTCTTTTATCAAATCAAGCAACATCAAAGATGTAATATATGTTGATGATTTAGATAAACTTTAAATGTAATATAATATATGTTGACAATTTAAAACAAAGGAAATGTAATCGAGAGGTGCCGAGGTGGTGGGACAGAAAGCGAGCGAGAGAGCTCGGGGTAACCAGCTGGATGTAGAAGTGTTTAGTTGTATTATTAAAGAGTTATTCGTACCATATTATCTGGTCAGTTGAGTCGTTTATAATACATGGTGGCAGCGTAGAGGAAAATGTATCAGATCCCAGCGCCTGAAGTTTTTAATTTTCGTCCGGAAGATTGGAGAACATGGATAGGACGTTTCGAACGATTTCGAACAGCGTCTGGACTCCATAATAAAGAGGAAACTGACCAGGTAAATTCTTTCATATATTTAATGGGACAGAAAGCCGAGGAAATTTTGGCGTCATTTAGTCTCCCAGAAGAGGATAGAAATGACTATTCAAAAGTTAAGGCTGCATTCGAAAAATACTTCGTCCCAACTAAAAATGTTATATACGAAAGATATAAATTCTATTCTCGGTTTCAAGAAGAAGGAGAAACAGTGGAGAACTTCGTGACTTCATTATATAGTCTGGTTAAAACGTGTGATTTTCCTGCTTCGTTTCAAGACGAAATGATTAGGGATAGAATAGTTTGCGGCATTAGAGACAAAAAGGTTTCGGAACGTTTGCAACTTGAAACGGAACTAACTCTGGAGAAAGCAATAAACACTGCGAGACAGGCTGAAACAGTAAAAAAGCAACAAGAAGCTTTTAAGAACAATTCCGGGAATAACATATATGCATTACGCAAAACTGCAGGTAGGAAGAACGTATTTTCGAAGCCGGAAGCTACCGACAATTCGTTTACCGGAAACAAAACTGTGAATTCCTGTTATTGGTGTGGAAAACCGGTGAAACATACTAAATTCAATTGCCCTGCACGTAAGGCGATCTGTAATAAGTGCAAAAAAGTAGGTCATTACGCAAAGGTCTGTAAAGCTAAAGTGAGTATAAATGAAATAGGAGAACCTAATCAAAGTTCATTTCTAGGACATGTTAAGGGGTCAAGTAATATAAACAATAGCGTTAAGAAACAGCTTAACCAGTGGAATGCAAACATTTTCGTGGGAGACATTCCTTTAACCTTCAAGATTGACACAAGGGCAGATGTCACAGTTATACCACACGAGACATATAACAGAGTGCTATCTCGTGTTAAATTACGAGAAATGAATAGAACTATACACGGCCCTGGTAAAAAAACTCTGGATGTTGTGGGAGTGTTTACGGAAAAGCTAAGAAATAAGAGATTCCGCATCCAAGAAGACATATATGTTATAGATAAACTAGAACACTCCTTGTTGAGTGGTAAAGCTAGTGAACAGTTAAATCTTGTGAAAAGAATACAAGAACTAAACTCTACTTTCGATCCATTTAAAGAATTCCCCAATCTATTTCAGGGGATTGGGAAAGTGCAGAAACCCTATCACATTAAACTTAAACCGGAAGCAAAGCCTTACGCTCTGGCAGTTCCTCGAAAAGTACCATTACCCTTGAGAGATAAGCTCAAGAAAACTCTGGACGAGATGGTAAATAAGGGAATAATCGAGGCAGTAGACGAACCTGCAGAATGGTGTGCTCCAATGGTTTTGGTTCCAAAGAAATCAGGCGAAATAAGAATTTGCGTCGATTTATCTAAATTGAATGAGAACATTGAGAGAGAATACTTTCCAATGGTGTCGGTCGACTATACACTCAGCCAATTTCATAACGCAAAAATCTTTAGTATTATTGATGCTAATGCAGGGTTTTGGCAGATTGCATTAGATCCTGAATCATCTTACTTGAGAACATTTATAACACCTTTTGGGAGGTTCAGATTTAAACGATTGCCATTTGGAATTAAGTCGGCGCCTGAAATCTTTCAGAAAAGAATACGTGAAACAATACCAGAGGGCCCTGGAATTGTAGGACTAATGGATGAATTCGTGATATTTGGGGCCACAGAAGAAGAACATGATAAACGTCTGCATGAAGTTCTTCGTACACTTCAAAATGCAGGATGGACTTTAAATGCTGAAAAATGTCAGTTCAGAACGAAAGAAGTCAAGTTTCTCGGACATGTAATCTCGCATGAAGGTATAAAACCTGATCCCAAGAAAACAGAAGCAATAGCAAAGCTCCCAAGACCTAGCTCTGTCACAGAGCTGAAAAGATTTTTGGGCATGAGTGGATTCCTAAACAAATTCATACCAAGGATGGCTGATGTTGCAAACCCTCTGTACGAACTGCTAAAGAGCAACGTAGAATGGTTATGGGGGCCAGCACAGGAAACATCGTTCCAAGAGATCAAGAATCAGCTATGTCAAACTCCAGGATTATCAATGTATGATCCAAAGAAAGAAACATATATTTCCTGTGACGCATCATCTTACGGTCTTGGGGCTGTGTTGTATCAGAGTAAAAATGGTCACATGTCTCCAATTTGCTACGCATCTAGGACATTGTCGGATACCGAGAAACGGTATGCGCAAATTGAGAAGGAGGCTTTGGCAATTGTTTGGGCTTGCGAGAGATTCCACGACTACATAATGGGCAAAGTCGTGAATATTGAAACGGACCACAAACCGCTGATACCAATTTTCATGTCGAAGGCTTTGGACAGTCTTACTCCAAGACTGCAACGAATGAAGCTACGAATGATGAGATACGATTATAGCATCGTGTACAAACAGGGAAAGCAGCTTATAATTGCAGATGCATTATCCCGTAGCCCCATACCCGAACAGGGAAATGAAGAATTGACCGAGGAGATTGAGGCTTACGTTCAAAATATTATCGACACATTTCCTGCATCTGATAAACGGTTATCGGAAATCGTGTATTTACAAGAGAGAGATCCAATTTGCAAAACGTTGATGAGATATTGCGAAGAGGGTTGGCCGAAGAAAAACGAAATACCCGAGAAAATACGAAGATATTGGGAGCACAGAAACTCAATTACTCTCCAAAATAACATTTTATTTAAAGATTCCAGGATTATAATTCCAGAAAAGCTTCAAGGAGAAATATTGAACAGGTTACACGAAGGCCATCTTGGAATAACAAAGTGTCGAGCCCGAGCTCGAGAGTCTGTTTGGTGGCCAGGCTTATCGGCGAACATTGAGAAATTGATTGCGAACTGCTCAATATGCATCCAATACCAAAAGTATCATAAAGAGCCTCTTATCCCAAGCGAATTTCCTGAGAGACCTTGGCAAATTGTAGGGGTAGATCTTCTAAAACTAAAAAGCCATTGGTATCTCATAATGGCTGACTACTTTTCAAGATATTTTGAAGTTGCCAGATTGGAGGAATTGTCGTCGTCGTCAGTAATTAACCACATGAAATCAATTTTCGCAAGACATGGAATTCCAGAGGTTGTACGAAGTGACAATGGCACCCAATTTTCCCAGGTTGTCGACTCTGAATACCGTAAATTTGCAGAAAAGTATAAATTTTCAAGTATAACTTCTAGTCCGAGATACCCTCAAAGCAATGGATTCATTGAATCAATGGTGAAAAATTTCAAAAGTCATTACTTGAAATCTGAGTCGCAGGATCATTATTTGATGCTTCTAGCAATGAGATCTACGCCATTAGAGAATGGCTATAGTCCGGCAGAACTGCTAATGAGCCGAAAATTGAGAACACCGTTGCCATCAAATAATCACCAATTGATACCTCGTTTGGTTGATTTCGCTTCAGTAAGGAGGAAGGAAAAAGGGAAGACAGATAAACAGAAAACCTATTTTGATCGACGCCACGGTGTAAAAACTCTTCCACGGTTGAAGTTAGGACAGCCAGTCTGGGTGTCAGATATGCGAACATATGGAAAGGTGAAGGAGGCTCACCATACTCCACGATCTTACATTATCGAAACTCCGAGAGGCACGTTCCGCAGGAACAGAATACATTTACACCCATCGTCTATTCCCCAGACAGTCTCCCTGGAAGACGAACCGCAGATCGTCGATGAGGAGAAATCGACTGGATCATCCAACCAGAATACTCCCGAAGAAGAAACTCCCAGGACGGAAAATGGAACAGGATCCGGGAATAGGGAACTTTATGAACCAACGCTAGAAATCAAACAACACTCTCCACCGGGTAAAGAGGACCTTCCTAAAACCCGTAGTGGCAGACCTATACGAATCCCAAGACGGTATCTGGATTACCAGCCGTAAAAGAGAAGGGGGAGATGTAATATATGTTGATGATTTAGATAAACTTTAAATGTAATATAATATATGTTGACAATTTAAAACAAAGGAAATGTAATCGAGAGGTGCCGAGGTGGTGGGANAGAGAAGGGGGAGATGTAATATATGTTGATGATTTAGATAAACTTTAAATGTAATATAATATATGTTGACAATTTAAAACAAAGGAAATGTAATCGAGAGGTGCCGAGGTGGTGGGACAGAAAGCGAGCGAGAGAGCTCGGGGTAACCAGCTGGATGTAGAAGTGTTTAGTTGTATTATTAAAGAGTTATTCGTACGATATTATCTGGTCAGTTGAGTCGTTTATAATACAAAAGACATTAATCATTATATTGCTGAGACAATTCCATCTGTTTTAACAATTGTATTGGAAATATTCTTTATGAATCTGAATGTGCTAGAGTGATCATATTAAATGTTGAATAAGGAATAGAAGTTTAAAAATACATTATCCAATGCTTGTGTTCTTGAAAAATCTAGCAGTTATTTCAATTATAAATAAAATTATTTGACACTTTTTTTTTTTTTTTTTTTTTAGTAGATTCATTTTAGAATGCTCTGCACTCATATGTTTTTATATTTATATCAAATTGTTTTTATATTTGTAATCTTTATTCTAATCCAATTGCTTGAAGAAGATAAGTGTTATATTAAAAGTGCTTTTATTTTATGAAATATTATCTTTTTTATTTAATAAATAATATCAAAAGACAGTTTATTTTACATTTATTTAGTTACTGCTTGTATATATCTTAACATATATGTGTTGGAGAGTTGTCTGATATGATGATAAAGACTTTTAAATATCTTGGAGTGATTCAGCATCTGACATGGCTGACAATGAATTAGCATATTTTTAACAGATGAACAAGATTATATATTCATCATAACATGATTTTTCTAATCAAACTGCCTTGTCATAGTGTGTTTCTAATAAAGAATTAAATCAGTTATATCACATTACTAGCTAAATATTAAGTATTTGACTGGTATTGGAATGGTAAGACAAAGTATTTGACTAAATTTCTCCTAATTTGAATAATTTCTAAATCTACATTTTGTGCTCTAATCATCTTTTCTCAATTCATAAATGTATTATACTATATCACCAACATTTTGTATTATACTATTTTCATAATATTAAATCATAATTATCTTCTCTATCTCTTTCTTTTGCCTTTTCCCATAGTAGGGTTAGCTTTGTTGCAACTGTCGCTTCCACTTGGCACAGTCTTTGGCTTCTTCTGAGTTGAGGTTGGCAATGTGCATGTCCTCCCAGATGGTGTCCATCCATCGCTTCTTGGGCCTTCTCCTGGGTTCAGTTGCATGGCCGTTTTTGCGACTGATGTGTCTTCGTCACGTAGGACATGTTCATACCATCTTAAAGCCTGTCACATTTTCTTGTCAATTCCTCCTATTCCCAATCTTTGTTGAATGTCATTATTTGTTACATGGTCAAATCGGGTTAGGCCCAGCATCCATCTTAACATCTTCATCTCCATTATATGGAGAGTGTGTTCATATTTTCTTGCTGTGGGCCAACATTCGGCTCCATAAAGAGCTGCTGGGCAGACCACAGTTTTATAAATTTTTGCCTTTAGCTGTTGAGGCATTTTTCTATCACACAGGATGCCTGTGGTTTGCTGTCATTTGAGCCAGGCAGCATTTATTCATGCTAAGACATCAGGTGTTTCACTATCTGCAGATAACATTGGACCCAAATATTTGAACTCGGTCACTTTGTTTATTGTTTGATCTGCCACTTGGATTGATTGTCAGTTTGTGGGCCACACTCGAGATATTCTGTTTTCTTTAAATTTAGACTTAGCCCATAATCAGTAAGTCGGTTTCTCCATGTTTGCAACTTCTCCTGGAGAGCTATACTGTCTTGATGTGCAAGCATCACATCATCAGCATACAGTAATGTTCAAGGGTGTGCTGCCTGCAGGTCAGCTGTGACAGTGACCATGCATAGTATGAATAGCAATGGCGAGAGTGCTGATCCTTGGTGCACTTTTAAGCATTTATTCAAACTTTATTCACAATAATAAGTTTATAATATTGCTTTTCTATTAGACAGATTACTAGATATGTGAAATCTTGAGACCAAAATGGAGTGTCTTGGTTTCATCATAGTTTTGATAGTGAAAGCTTTGAAAAATTTAAAATAATAAAATTATTAATACATTTAAAATTATTTATGTCACACATTGGAGCAATGCTAAAAGTATTCTGGCAACATTGATCCTGACATTTAGTCTTGAGTACGTGAGAATAAAGTTTTTTTCTTATATATGCTGTGTTCCAGCGACCTCAGATCTTGTTGAGGAAATTTTTTCTCAAAGAGGTTTGGTTGTGTGTCTGATATGCCAGAGTGACAAATTCATTATTAGAATTATTGATTTTTTTAAAGTGTAACAAAGGCCTTAAACTTGTAAAATTTTTCTTATTCTTTCAGATTGAACTTCATATTCATCTAGATTGTTCTATTCGAATTACAACTATATGGGATTTATTACAGTAAGTATTATATATTTTTTTACACAATATATTTTAAAAATATATTTATTGACAAAAAATGTTACACACATTTTATTTTATTAAATTTTATTAAATTGGATTTTCTTTATTAATGTATTTTTATTTGCTTGTATACTGCACTTGTTTACTGCTACCAGTGTGGTGGAGTCAGTAAACAATTAGTTTGACTCTAACTCTGGCAGATTTGAAATGTGCAACTCCGACCTGTTCCACTATGATTCTTTTTATAAGGAATACTAGTGTGATAGTTATACCACTAGGTATCCGAATATTTTTATCTGAAATTTCTCTATAAAAAGTTGTAGTAAAATTGATGGTGAGAATCAAAAAATGGATGTAACAAATTTACCTTGGAAAAACTTTCAAGTACAGTAGAGCATCGATTATCCGACTCAATTGGGGACTGGGGTTGGTCGGATAACTGAAAAAACAGATAACCAAAAAATATGAAAAAATACATTATTAGTATAGTATATTAGTATATCTCATGTAATTAGTATATTAGTATATCGCTATTAACCTACTTCGTGTAGAATTTTCATTGATGTTAAGCCTAACAAAAATTTTTTAAAAATAATAATCGTTGCTATTGTATCGTTAAAAATTAGAAAATTAAGCCTCGTTTAAATACTGGCTCCCTTTCATGGTCGA